AAGTCTATTCATTTCTTTTATATGCAAATAATAATAAAATGATGCCATCCGAGTCCCAACGCAAAAAAACACACACCAGGGACACCCCCGCCCCGGCCCCTCTCCGTTTTTTTTTTTTTTAAAGGGGATTTTAGGGTTTCCGAGCTCCAGCGAGGGGCAATATTTTTCTTTCCGATTTGAGGGAGCCAAAGCGGAGGTGCCAGAGCATCTTCCCTGGGCAATTCCCAGCAAATCAGACCAGCAATTTCCTTCTCCCGTCAGGGCGAGCAGAGAGCGAGGCTGGGACTTCACAAAACTCACTGGTTTGGGGTTTTTTACCCCCTTATTTTCCTTTTTTTTCCGTCTTCACCAGCTCTTTTTTCATTTTTCCTATGAATATTGACATTTTTCCGGCTGAGAGGACTCGACCCAGTCACCCCGCAGATTTTTTTTTAAGACTTTTCGGTGATTATTTTTTTTTCTCGGTGATTTTTCCCCCAAAGAGCGCACAGGTTAGGACACTTAGTAACAACCTAGAGAGCGATACACTAAATTTTTCCTGCATGAAGCTAACAGCGGGGTCGGGTGGGTGTTGGGATTTTTTTTTTTTTTTTTGCATACTAATCAGAGATTTCCTTTGTCTGAGGGATTTGTGAGGGTCCGGACCAGAGTCCATCCAGCAGCTCCCCCCCGCCCCACCCCAAAATTAAAGTTTTCTCAAGGTTGCTTCCACCAGAAGTGATGAAAAACACCCCCAAAACCCCACAACAACAAAAAAATAACATTGCAGGGAGACCCCCCCACCATCTCCTGCAATCCCACCTAAAGAGCCTCTTTGCTTTTCAACTTGGAATCTTTCTTCCACTTCATCCTGCGGTTTTGAAACCAGATTTTGATCTGTCTCTCGTTCAGGCAGAGGTTGTTGGCGATCTCAATGCGCCTCCGCCGCGTCAGGTATCTGTTAAAATGAAATTCTTTCTCTAGTTCCAGAGTTTGGTAGCGGGTGTAGCTGGTGCGGGAGCGTTTCCCATCCGTTTCTAGGGAAAAATAAAAATTAAAATAAAAAAAAAAGGGGAGAGGGGAGACACCGCATGAAAAGCCAAAGCGATTCTGGATGGATTTTAGATTTTTTTATTATTTCTTTTTTAATGGTAAAACCCGGTTACAAATCTAGAACACACAGAAGTTTCCTGGGGGCCGGGGGCACGCAGGGAGGGAAGTAGCCTCAAATCCCTCATTCCCCAACACCTTCAGCCCCCCAAGTCCCCCCCTTCCTTCCTAAAGCCCAGATCAAACGCATGTAGATGAGCCAGAAGTGAACCTGTTTCCTCTCGGACAATAAGGAAGTGTACAAAGGACGGAAATATCTTTTCTTGGGAATCTTGTCTCTTTTTTCTCTCCCCCCGCCCTCAGCGCTGGGAAGGTGGAGGGGGAAAATCCCACCACGCTTTCCCTCACTTTCGCTTCTGGTGTCTTTTTTTTTTTTTTTTTTTAAAGCTCATCCTGAAAGAACATGTGTATTTCAAGTTATTTTTAACCCCCCCTTCCCAAAAAAATGGAATATTGCCTTTTATACACGTTTTGTTTCTATGATCCAATTATGCTGTCATAAATTTGGGCGTATATAGCCTCTAAGCCTTTTAGTGGACAGTTTTACGAGCAATTGATGCCTTAGTCGTAAAATTTACGACCTCAGGTTTTTTATTATTTGCCCCGTATGGCCTATAAAAACCCAAGGCAAAAAAAAAAAAAAAAAATTCCTGTGAAACAAAAATCAAGAAGTGAAAGTTTTACCATGGCTCATGTGTAGTTTGGTCATCCAGGGGTAAATTTGTGGAGGTTGTTGCTGCTGCAGTTGTGGTCCTCCTTGTTGTGCTGTTTGCACGGGCTCAGCTTTGATTTCACCCGCGCTCTTAGATCTCTCCT